CAGCCCTAAGTTCACAGTGCGCCCAGGTTTGGAGTCCGAGTCGCACAATGGTGGAAGCCATCATCGCGACCGTGGGCAGCACGCCGCTGGCAACTCGGCAACTCTTGGCCTTAGCCGACGTGCAGCTGGTGTGGTTTAGGGCGTAGGGCTCAAGGATGTTTAGGGTTGAGGATGTTTAGGGTTTGCCTTCCAGCCGGGGCTTCCATGAACATGTTTGCTCTATAGGGGGCCGCTATGAGATCACGGGTTACCTCGCTTTTTAGGGTGATTTTGTTAAGGCATACCCTTCTGTTTTGGTTAATACTCTTTTCCTCTGGAGTTTTAAACCCTGAACTCCCAAACTCCTGGTACACCGTAAGCCCTAAACCCTACACTGGCCCTGAATCCTAAACGCCAAGCTGGCCCTAAAACACACTACTTAAAGAATCAGGGACATAGCAAGTAGGGTTACAATTAACGTAACTACATTAATAAGTATTTATAACCCTAGCTAAGGTATGTATAGCTATACTATACCAAGTCCCTTGATCTTGTGCAACGGCTCCGTGCTGTGGAGCAGTTGGAGGCCCTCCTTCATCGCCGAATGGCCCATGCACGTGGCTGCAGGCGGGAATTCAGGGAGCAACGGCTCATCATCCTAATTAAACAATTTGACACATGGATTGATGCCAAGCATAAAACGGATTGCGCATGAACCGTCAAGTGCCAAATGTTCTACTTGTATCAGGCTCCAGGCGAGATGATCTCGGCGCTTGAACGACAATTCTCGCCGATTTTGCTTGCGGAAAGCACGCTGCCCGTTACGCGCAATCCATTTGCCAGCATGATCATCTACTTCGCCGACCTTTCATTATCCTACCTTATCTTCGTCGAGTGGCGCAGGTATCTTGGCTCTGGTGACTGGTGACATTGGAGGGATTTGGGATCGAAAAACGACCCCTATTGCTGTCCTTGCTACTAGATCACCAGATGCTCATGTTGCGCCGGTCAGTTTTTAGCAACATGTCACTCCACAGTCGCTTCAAGTTTGGTAACGACACAGATGCCTAGTCGTAAAACTAGCCAAAAGCCGGGGTCGGTTTCCGACCGGAGGTATAAGGGTTCCGTGGAGGGACTCGAGTTACAGTGTGGTGCGAAATCCGAACAAGTAGGAGAGGCACCTTAAACCACAAAGCATGATTGGATTTGGGATCCAGAACAATCATTCCAAGTACTGCGCTTCATGGTTTCGCCGTCTCTGCAACACGCACGCAGCCTTTAGACCATTTGCAGAACCCCGTACCTCTGGAATCTGATGAGTCACCGCAAAATCCTTTCGACCTCATCTCCAGAATTATCGGAAGCTATTGCCATTTACGAATAAGTTTGGACCTCAAACCTCAAGCCGTAAGCCCAAAGAAACCTGGGGCCCCGAGCCCCTAAGCGCAAACATGCTCAACCCCGAACCCCAAACCCTCAGCCCTAAGCCCTATAAATCCTTTATGAGCCCTTAAACCCCCCCAAGCTTCAATCTACTGTAGGGCGGAGTTGTGGTGTTGATGTTCCGGTTTTTCGTTGCGTCCACGAGCTGCTGAATGGAGCATTCAGGTTCATGAGGCTCATGAGGATATGCAGAAGGGTGCTTCGAGCATTCTTCGATGCCTGGCACCTCAGCTGCGATGTTTCGCAAGAGTGGGCTCCGGGTGATTCTCATTCTGATAACTCTGATTCGGCATAACTGCGCTCTGACTGCTGCGTGTAATATATGCATGGACCCCAAGAGGAGACAAGTCGAAATGCTGGTTGCGATAGTGTAAAAATAGCGCGACTTTCGTTGATCTACTGCACATCTATAGAGCCGGGCTGTTTGCCCATTTGTTGCTGATCGTGTCGTTGCCCTGTGGTGCCTTAGGTGTCTCTGTTATCGGGAGTGAAGATTTGGGTTTAGGGTTTCGGGTTCAGCTTCTCTGACTTTGGAAATTTCGAGTCAAGCTATTTCAAGTCAAAACCCCACCCGCCCAAAGGTTCCCCTCATATTATGAAATAATAATCTTTATTTAATATTCGGATGGAATACGATTCTTCTTCGGAACTTTTTTCAATTATACTTTAAACCTTAGGCCCTAAACGTAAGGCCCTGAACCTAAAGCCCCAAATCCTAGGCCCCAAACCCTAGGCCTAAGTACGTGTAATTAAAGACCAAGATGTAAATGATACCACAGAACGAGCTCACAAGTGTCTCGAAGCGCTGGGAGAACCTAGTCTTACCCTCGAATGCACGACAGCTCACAGTTCACTTTTTCTCAGCCAAAAAGCAGCCTGGACGGTACCAGCTCATGCGTGTCATCTGTGCGCAGGGGCTGTTGATCGCACGCACTCCCCCTTCGCACTTCCCTACACAGGAAGGGCGAATCCGAAGTGTTTAAAGGAAAAGGAGTCTCAGTAGACCCAGTGCTCAGCCCCACCTGTATCACGCGACGGTCGCGTCCGACTACTTCCAAGGACAAAAACTGATCCGACTCGATTCCGAACGCCTGAGTCTTTCAGGCCTCCTCACTTCGGAGGAAGTCCGACTAAGAGTCACCAGCATCCCTGGCCCGTGTTAACGACAAAAGAAAACTGCTTGGACAAGGGAAATAGAGAGATCCACCAAGCCTCCTTGATCACAGTCTCAGACTTAAAGCCATCCGACCTTTCTAAAAACCTACCCTAGTGGTAGAGGAGGGTTGGACCTATCCCTATTCCCCAATTCGCTGCTACATCTTGAGCGGCTGAGGTACATCTGTTCGGCTGCGTACAATCGCCACTCGATCAGCTAGCCCGAAGAAGTGCTCTCGGACACTTCACCATCCTCAACCTTACGGAGATAGTCCCCAACTAACCAATGGAACTGGTCTTGCACTGATTCGGGGTAGCTCTCGAGATCTACGGGAATGCCCCCTTTCCACAAACAAAACAGAATTCGTCCTCGATGTGGAATCGTCTCTGGCAGCGGCAGCAGCCCGAATCGTGATCCATCCGTCTGGCATCCAATCGATCTTCGGTGGCCCCTTCGGGACCTCAAGCAACGCCACAGTCCCTTTGAGATTTCCCAAGCTCCGATGGTAGTCAACACGCACCAACACAGCTCTAGAACTACGCCTTCACAGCGCATGGTGCGGGGACAGACTTCCCACTCTCCAGCTTCAGGGCAAACCTGACCTTCATCCCCTAGGCCAACAACTCTCGAGGGGTCCCACAATGCTACGCCACGAGACTCCTTGGGCTCCCCCCGAACAGCCCCTATAAAGACCCATAGAATGACAAGGAACCTTAGCCAGGAGCTCAACGCCCGAAGAAAGAGAATCCCGGCCTCTAACAGACCACCGACTACACCAAGGTCACTAGACCCCTGAGAGACACCGGAATCCCCTAGGGCCCCTCTTAACTCAAGAGCCTCGCGCCAATCAGACCAATCCCCGGTTTCTAATCCTCGAACAATAGCCTCAACATCCTCACAGCTCCACCCCTCAAGTGGTACTGTGAAAGTGTCATCTACATAGTGAACAATTAGACACTCTGGCCCGGCTTCGTACAAAGTCACAGGGAGGCCACGTGCTGCCGGTTCAACAGGCTCACTCAGTTCTTCCAGAAACACCTCCCGGTCGCCGAAAGTCTCTGCAGAACTCACCGATTGAACCGAAGGTTCAGTGGTAGACTGGTCTTCACCGGACGACGAGCTATCACTACCTAACAACTCATCAGCTACAAGCCCATACAACTGAACCTGAATCTGCGCAGGATTTACAGGCCACAAAGGCTGCTCGTCTACCGCTGAATCATCATCAATGTCGCTATCCTCTTCTGGCCCGGCTTCTGGAGTGGGATCAGTAGGATCCCCAAAAGGGAACTCTCGAACACCTCGCTGCACATATGCCTCTGCGGCATCTCGCACTTGCCCGCCGTGAGCAACAAAGAGTGGACCAGTAGCTCTCAACCACATAATCATGGCATACAACGAGTGTTCCCGAAACCCCCGCGCTACCTGCCGAACACCACGAATCTCCCGCACCCGAGTCCCTAGGCAGGCTAGAAGTTCATACCCAATTATCGAAAACACTCGCCAAAGATAATGAGCATAGACACCTGGGGCCCATAGCACATACGGAAACTGCTCTCCGACAGGAATCACAGCTTGGGAAGTCTCCGGCTCTCCCGCAGATACACCTGGACCATGTAGTAGGAATCCCTCTACTTCCGCTAGCCACTGGGGCCCACTATACCTCGGAGCCTCAGGCCCTTGACGAAGATAATCTGCGAGAGCTCCATACAACCCGAATCGTACAGCACTCGACGCCGCTCGAACAGCCAGCCAATCACGGGATCGAGTACCCAGGAGACTCAGCAGCACTTCCCCAACACTCGAGAAGAGCTGCAACATAAAATGTACTCGGAGCCATGTTCCTACCAGTGGCCACGCTTCTAACGAACCTTCCAGGGGCAGGTAATCTTCGTAGTACACATCCGCTGGCTCCGGCGGTGGAGCTGGCATTCCATGAGATGAAGAGCTGCCCCCAATCTGAACCCTAGGAGTAGGCACTTCAGAAGCGATCGACCCAGCACGTTGCGCAATTGGACCACTGGAGCTCCCCCTAGCCTGAGCACTCGACTCTGACGAAACTGGAACCTCTGGACTCCCCCTAGCCTGAGCACTGGACTCTGAAGGAACTGGAATCTCTGAACTCCCCCTAGCCTGAGCACTCGACTCTGAAGGAACTGGACCCTCGGAATTCTCGCCACCAGGGCCCTAAACCGAATCGGAACCCACTGAAGCCTATTTCCAACCTGCACCGGCCGAACTTCTACTTCCCACTCCCGTTCCTCAAAGTCTTGATGGGCAACCCGGGTATCCCGAATCCCTCTTACAAGGCTCAAGACCGCATTGGATCTCAATCGCCGACAAGTCTCACTCAAACTAGACCAGACCCTTGCTTGTACTCCCAAAAGGGCTACCAACAGATCTCCCTGTGTAATCAGTAGACCTACGAGAACCTCTTCAGTGATAGCTGGCTCGACAGGAGCAGGGTTGGGATCAGCGTTACTATCGCTAGGCCCAGCATACCAATCCGGCAGAGGACCGTACCGCTGCAGCATATGAGGAGGATCCACCTCCCCACCTTGAAGCAACTGACGGCGTAATCTAGACCTCTGTACAAGCGTGAGACCTGTGAACCGCTCTTGTTCCTCTAATTTCTGCTGCGCTACGCGCCACTGTTCCTCATTAAACTCCGAAGACTCGCTGGAAGCAACCTCGCTGGCTACATCGTCGTGCATGTCCCCATCTGGCGGAGGAGCGATTGCAGACCCTTCGGACATAAAACCCGAACCACTCGAATAGTCCCTAGCTGCCACCTCCGCAGTCTGATGACTCGCATCAGTCTCCGAAGCTCGTCCATCTAGGTCCTCTCCCCGAAGTCCGACAAAGTCCGCAGAATCCGCAATAGCTTCCAAACCCTCAAGAAGCCACCAGCCCCAGAGCATCAGCACGACCGTTAACAAAACCCCAACGGTCCAAGCCAACCAACCGAACCCAACATCAAGCTGGTCTTCGACCGGTTGTCCCTTCGCCCGTGGTAGGAGAGCCAACAAGGCCAGACCTGCGACAGATTCCGGTGTGATTAGACCCGCCGGAATGTCCCGGAAATCAAACCTACTCATAAGCCTGGCCGCCTTAACCGAACCATCCTGAAGAGATTGGTCTCGCACGTTCATGAGATCGAGAAGTTGTAGAATGCGTCCTCGGGAAAGTGGTTTCGTGGCAATATCTGCCAGCTGGTAGTCGCCGGGGATGTGGTGGACGGTCAACTGATTCGCAGCAATTTTTTCACGTCCCGAGAGGGCCCTCATCCGAAGGTGGCGGCTCCGCCAGCCCGACGGCGAGCCGTCGAAGGAACGGATGGCTGCGGAGTTGTCCGCGAGAAGGGAAGCTGTTGTGTCACAAACCAACAGTTCATCGATGAGTGGCTGGATACATTCAGTCATCTGGATGGCGTGGGACATGGCCACTAGCTCCGCCTCCGCAGAGCTAAGAGTTACGAAAGATTGTCTGGTGCTCTCCCAAGCCAATGGCGAACCACGCCACATGACCACAAAAGCCTGAACAGAACGCCCCCCGCAGGGCGAGTGCGAGGCGTCAGAGTACACCTCCAGAACCTGATCCCGACGCGGGACCGCAAGAAGGCCATGACCCGAGAAGTAAGGACCACTATCAAAGCAGTACTCAATGCTGTAACGCAAGGTGGAATGCAAATACTGGAGAACCTGGTGCCCAATCGAGATGCTAAGCTGCGGTGCTTTGGTGGCCTGTTGGCCCATCCTTGAAACAGCATATGACACATCAGGCCTTGATCGGGTCGCGACCCATAGGATGGCACCCGTAATCCCTTGAGCTTCCTTTACCAAGGCTGGATCTGGGGACCCCTCCGGTTCCGGCTCAGACCACTTTGTTAAGGGGACCTGGGAATACGTATCACACCCATACCGCTGCAGCAGCTCCCGGATGTAAGACACCTGAGAGAGACAGTACCCTCTTTCAGTTCGAACAATCTCGGCCCCACAGAAGGTGGTGGGCTCACTCCCAAGCCAATTCGGGTCGGACGTTTTCCACTTACGCTGAACCTGATCAACGAAACACTGACACAGCTCCGGAGTGGAAAAGAAGGCCAGATCATCCACATATACAACCAGCAATCCGGAAATTGCGCCCTTTCCAGCCTCACCTACCGGCTGCACAAGCCACAAAGATTCATCTGACTTCGTCTGAAACAGTCCATATTCGACCCCGTTGCAGCGAATCACAAAGGTACGGAACTCCTTATCCCGGTAATCGCCCCAATCCCTTGGCGACGTAGGTAGACCATACAGTGCCTTTCGAACATGCCACCGATCGTCAGCTTGTAGCACCCCTAACTCAACCAGTAGAGCGGGAGGCTTCACAATAATGCGCTCTTCACCATCCTTCGAACGCGTCCCTATCGGAGCATAGAGAAACGCAGATTTAATATCGATGGTGATCCCGGTCCAAAGCGGATGAATGGAGGCAAACCCTAGAGCAATCCGTAAGGTCAGCGCCTCCGCGCCCGAGGCATACACATCGTCTTTCGTTAGTCCTAACTTCTCGGGAGGGAGATAGTTTCCGCAACACACCGCTCGGAATCGACGCTTACCGGTACCACTTTTTCGTGTCAAGACAGCCTTACCCGGAAGCTGTATAACCTTGAACCCTTGATCTATCCACTGATCAACTAAGGCGGCCTTAATCCGATCTACCGCTTGGTTTGTAGTCTCAAGACTAGTGACTTCATCTGTGGCCGGATCCTTCCATAATCCTAGCTCTCCTCGTGCTTCTTGCAGCCCTACAGACCGAGTCTGAAGGAACTGATCAGCAGGAGCTCACGCGCTACACCCGGAACCGTAATAGATTCCCCCAGTTCCTCCAGCAACACTCGCCCTAGCCTAGAGGACCCCTCATGCCACAGCTGCCAAGACTCTAAGGATTCATCGGTAATTATCGGCACCGGAAGCTCGAGCTCCCACTCCGTTTGCACAAGATCACAGTCCTTCGTAGCGTCTGAGATCCCTGATCCTACCTTACCTAGGCTGGCAACCTCAGCTAAACGATTCTGCACCCCCTCAACCGGAAAACCCAAATCCTCTAACTCGTTCCATTGGTCTGAGGAAGTCTTTCGCACCCCAGCAGGCACAAACGCAGAAATAACCCATCGGTGGTGCCCTTCCCATGGCTCCGGTTGGTGCCACTGGGTTCCCTTAAACACTACAGGACTTGTCTTCAAATCATGTACGGTGCCGGCAACTACGCTCCCAGAGGGCAGTGTTTTACACACCGGTCCTTCGTTATTGTTCCCCTGAACCCAAAGGCCTCCACCTATGAAGTCTCCTAAACCCTTTACCCAAATAGGGAACTCAACGGCATTCCTAAGGTCTCGATGCAGGGGCATAATAGTGTTGTGGGAAACATACAACGCGGTCCACAAGTGGCCTCCACTCAGCTCCCTCACAAACCGATTCAGAAACCGAACTACAACGGAATTCTCTTTCGCCCATTTGGAAACCCCGTGAAACCCTCCTAGGCTATACATTCCGCATAGAACCGCCTGGCCTTGTCGCTGCAGCATCGATCTCCGCGCGATCGGCAGTCTTCCAAAGCATTTCCGGAGCACTTCAGAGCAGTCCTCATCCGAGAACATCCCTCGATCAAACTTCTCTTGTACCCAGGTAAAAGATCCTAGTAGACCTTCGTCGTCCTTTATCCCCTCGGAATCAAGCCCCTCTATCTCATCCCCTACGACCTTTACCTGGTTCAACTGAAAGCAACCCTCCCCCTCACCAGAATCACAAAGGAAGCCCTCAGTATTGCTTTTACCGGTTTCACCAATACCACCTTCTTCACTCCTTCGACACAGAGTTGCCCCAATAAAGAAGTCCTCCTCGCTGAACAACGGTTCGACCCCGTCCGAATCTGAATCGAATAGGAAAGACTCCCCCCTAGGTGGCAACCTGGTTTCCGAAAGATTATCACCCTCTTGCACTAACAGCGCAGCAGCTACGACCCGAATCGCGAAGCCAGGCTCCGCAGGGGAGCGCTTCGAAGTCAGGCGAAACTTGGGTTTCAGAGGCGCGCCAAATCCTTCACGCAATGGATACACGGTGCCTGTAAGCAACACCCGCTGCTCTCCATCATCATCTACAAGGACTAGGTGCCCTCCAGGCGTATGTGGTGCTGGTCCAACATAAGTAGCACGCGTAGATCGAGCCAGCCACTGAGACTGATATCCGGTACGGGTCCGCTTACGTGCTTCAATCGGCGTGCCGAAAGGCAAAAGAGGCGACTGGGGAACCCCGAGCTCAGCCGAGAACCTCGCCCAATTCCTAGCGGAAGCATGCAGCAAAGCTAGCGGCCAGAACACCCGGTCGACCCTCGAAGCTAGCAACAGTTTACGGATCCCCGACTTAAGGTTCTGGACCGAAAGCTCAGCATGATTGCCCGCGGGACATTCCCCAGGAGTCCAAGACCCATGGATGCCTTTGGCCCGAAGCCAGCTCACAAGAGAGGATGACCGAAGTTCTTTAGCGCGATCCGCATGATAACGCTGGACCGGTAGTCCGTACGCCTCTAACTTATTTATCAAGCTCTGAACCTGGCCCAAAACTTCCTTTCCTTTCTTACTACGAAGAGGCGTTCCTAGGAACAGAACCCGTGTTTTACCAGCGAACTCAGGCGGATCACCCTTCCCCCAATCTACAGGTCCTACACCCCCTTCTGGCTCTTCGGGACGTTTCCCTCTAACCCTATGGGTGACAGCCTTCTGGGAAACCTCCTCAGATAATGCCTCAGGTACAACCAGCAACTCCGGAAACAGCTCACCGTCCTCATCACCCTCGGGATCTACCTCACCTGGGATTGGCTCAACACCCTCCTTACTGCCCGTCTCAAGTGGCTTGTAGCCCTCTGGTACAGCATAGGAGCAAGCAAGGAAATACTTGTAACCTCCACCCCTATCGCGCCCCGAGGCAACAGGATCAAATGACTTACCCGCAACAAAAGGCCCTGCGATGTCAAAGGAAGCTGAGTGCACCGTGGGAAAGGAAGATCTCCAATGCGATCGACGACGCCCTTGGGCCTGTATGCATACCGGACAACCCTTCAAGTAAGGACTATGATCATTTGCCACATGCCTAGCGTACTCTTCACGGCTACACATCTTTCCAAGGAGAAGCTTCCTTTCCTCAACCTCCTCTGCACTCGCTAGCTCAGCTTTCCACTTGCCCCAGGCATTCTGAATTATCCTCAGGAGTGGCACAGTCCACCCTTCCGTTGCAGAATCCCCTCGCACTAGTCCTAACGACCGAAGATAATCAGCAAGCGCCGCAGCTACCCTCCAACCCTGTACGCTCTCGAACAGATACCAGGAAGAGGTAATAAGCTCCGTAGCCCGAGCCTCCGCAGCTCCAAGACAACCCTGATCAAAGCCAGCTCTGCTGAGATCATAAACATCCTGCCATTCGACAAGATCCTCGTTCCTGATACAGGGAGCATTTCGCCCCCCACCGGCAACATCAAGCCGAGATGAGCTGTCAAAAACCAGGAACACTGACGGTCGGAGCCTTTCCTGACCCTGGGCCTTCTTCCCCTCTCTGGCTTTCTCAATCCGATCAGCAGCCCTTCTTAAAGCCCACAAAGCTACTTGATCAGGGTTGGTCAAATCCTCGGGTAATTCATCTAACTCCTCTCTTCCTTCAGGGGTTTCTAAGGTGGTCTCACCACCGATCGGGCTTGCCCCATCCCTCACCGCTTGAGATACCCCATGCAAGATCAACAACCGAAGCTGCATTACAAGGCCCTGGTCATCAACTTCAGCTACTTCCGAATCGGAGGGTCGCTCGTAGACAAAACCTCCAAGGACCCCTAGCCGAGCCCACCGTAGCATAGACCCAAACACCTCTGTCGACCCCAAACCAGTAGTCCGATCCCCCACATGGAGGGTCCTACCCAGACCCTTCCACCCTTGCTTCTTGCTCGAGCAGTTCACCAGCACAGAACCCTGCGCCGATCTCTCGATCGACCGTCGCAAACGTCGGTTCCACGGAAAAACTGACCAATCAAGGGGGGTGAGAGATCTACTGTCCACACAAGCCGCAGATAACACAGCTTCAGGGATCTCTGGAAACAGGCTTCGAAGGTATACGAGCTGGTCCCCATAACTAAGACCTAGGTGCTCACTTTCTCGAACCCCCACACGCTCGCTCAACCACCTCCGAACATCTCGCTTGTCAATGGGCCTACTTACCTCGGCAAGTTCAACCTTAGCAGCCCTCAGGTCAACTTCTCTCAAAGCCTCGTACTCCCTTAATAGCTCTAGCCCTACCTCCCTAGGAATCAGAGGACATCCCTTCACTACCACTACCTCTAGACGGCCCTTCTTGGGATGCTTGATAGTGCATCCCTTCCTCCGCCAAGCAATGGTGAATCCTAGATCTACTAAGTAGGCAGCCGGGAGTATAACCTGACACTGTCCGGCATGGAGGAGGGTGCCATAATCGTTGATCCGCAATTCTGCGGTGCCGCTTGCCAAGTCTACCCGAATGACTCGGCCAGCGCTTAGCTCGGCTCCTTCAGCCGGTCGTAGCGCGTTTGTCGCGCCACTGTCTACGAGGGCGTAACTGCAGTCGGAGACCCCCGTGACGCTGAGCAGCCAGGAAGCATCGACCCTAGACAGATCAACCCTCCCCGACATGGTCGGCTGCGACTCGAGTCTTAGAGGCTTCAGCGATACCCCTTTTAGGAGCTTAGCGGCTTCCGCTATCAGGGCTTCCTGACCCCCAGACGCAACCGTCGAAGCAGAATGCACAGCGGCTCCTGGAGATTCGGTACTTGAAACATCCTCGGCAATACCCTTGGCCTGAGCAGCAACCTTAGGCTTACCCTTAGGTTTTCCCCCTTTTCCCCCAGGAGCCCCGGTCTTCGGCGAAGCTTCAGCAGAGGAAGTGCCTTCCTGAACCACACGGTTCTCCGGAGCTACAAGCGGACACTCCGGTCTGAAGTGATCTTTCTGTCCGCAGGCTAAACAACGGCCCTCACGCCTAGCCTTAGCCCGATCATGCTTAAACCGGCAACTATCACCAAACTTGCACCCCGAGGCATCCCCAAACTTGTGACACAGCAACACATCCTCCGGCTTACCCTTCCCTTTGCCCTTATCCTTACCCTCCCCTTGGCCACTACTCACAGCAGCAACCTGTGGGTTTGGGGGAGATGGAGGCGAAGGAGGGGCTTTAGGATTCGGTTGCTCGCGATTCGCACCTAAAGCGGCAGTCCTAGCACGCTTGTCAGCCTGGCCCTCAGCCGTGATTGCTGCGGCTTCACATTCCGCCTGGATTAACCGAACAAGTTGAACAACACTCGCCACAGACGGGTTGTAATCTATGGCTAGTTGATGCCTAAACGCGTTCACCCTGAACCCTATCATCGGATAAGCGGCCAAAAGGGCTGACGTAGCACTGTCCACTCCCCGTAACAGGAGCGACGAGTCCGGCAATGTGGCATGTATTTCGCTTGCCCTTTGGAGCCCCTGTTGCCAAGTGCGTAATCCTTTCATCGCTTCACTAAATGACTTGCACACACTAGGGTTCACGAGCTGGGCAAGCAAATGAGATCGTTCGCTCGAACCTCCAGGTTGAAAAAGGCAGAGCACTCGGAAAAGGATGGAGGTGGACGCGACCGGATGGATTGCGGCACAGCCGCCAGCAGCAGGCTAACAGATCGACTTTCAACCCTGCTATAGAGGTGCTTATCAAACTCCCCCTGTACCGAAGAGGGATCGATACTCAAGCGACCTAAGGGGTTAGCAACTAGCCACTTCTGGTATGCAAGGTTTGCCGGACCCTCGACTCCCTGCCACCATACCGATGCGCTAGGCGAAAGACCGATCATCACCTGTCGTACCTGGGCCAACCAGTTTCCGCACACAACTGCAGAGCTCGCTAGATCCGCCTGCACCAGTTTAGGGACCTCAGAAATGTACTTAGCAGGCTCCTCTGGCCTAACTTCAGCCCTGAATCCACTACCTCCCGGAACCATACTAACAGCCCCGTGTCCTGCACTTCCTTGGCCAACGTCCAGGCCCGAATTAAGTCGCGGCGACACAGGAGGCGGCCCCGGAGGAGGTCTAATCACCGTCCCTCCAGGCGAAACCGGATAGGCCAAACCATCCCCACCCGAAGACCTAGGAGTATGAAACCCCCTCGAGACCTGATCATTATTCAAGACCCCCTCCGCGAATTGCCTCAGGGACTGAGCGTGGGTGGCAGGCACTTCAGGCACATCTGCTGTCCTACTCTCATGCACAGGCAACGGTAACGCTGGCGGACAAACTCTCATCCCCTGGCCCAGTTCACCACTAAAAACAGGCCCGGCCCTAGAGAGCCCCTCGTTGAACCGATAACCCTCAAACCCTTCAAGCCCCAAGGCCCCGCATGGCCCATAGAACCTTGAAGAAGGAAACCGTGCCCTTACCAGAGAGTGTTGCTCTTCCGTAACACCAGATCCTACCTCGAATGACCTCACAGGATGCCCTACTCCAGAGCTCGGGAACTCTCTCATGAAACACGGATCTACCTGTACACCCTGCAGATTCGGAGGACCGGCACAGGCATAGTGATGGCGCATTGCAAAAGAGGCGGGCGAAGCTGGAAGCTCCCCCGGAGTCCTGGCACTATGCCAGGAAGACGCAGACTCCGTTTGGAGCCGCTTCTTCAACTCCTTGTTCTCTTCCAAAGCCCTCTCTAACAGGGATTCCAGCTTAGACACTCGATCTCCTCTCTCAGGGATTAACTCACGAGTATCTTCTGGGGTGATCCTTGAAGGTTCCGGATCCCGGAAGCTCGTAGCAGGCTCATCGGCAGAACCCAACAAATCGCTCTCACCAAGACCCGCAGTCTCAACCTTGGGCTCAGCGGCGGGTGCCGCCCCTGACTTCATCAACGTCTCTGAAGCTGCAGGGTTTTCACCAATCCTCGAATCCACCGTCTCAACTCGGGCCACACGTGGCCCAACCGATGCCGGAGAGCACTGCCCTAGCGCCCCATAATCAGGTTCCATAGCCAGGCCACCAGCCCCCATGTTTCCTAGGGCCGCATCATCATACTCTGCCCTCAACTTGCCAGCATCAGCGTCCAGAGTTGGAGGACGGCTGTTCCTAAGATTTACTTCCGCTTTAACCCTTTCACTATGGAAGGGCTAGCCATCAACCCGTGCTCCAACTCCGGTGCAACCCCAGCCAGGGCACTAGGGGACGCTTCAACATTCAACGCCCCAGTGGGAAAGTAGCTTACAGGATTCGCGTGGCTCAAGGCTGCTTGGTAGTCGAAGTCATTGTCATAATCCGAAGCAGCTGGCTCCTCAGACCTCTGGTTTCTACGTCTTCTCGAGACAGAATCCATGGCCCGAAGACTTCAGTTGCTGACGTGTCCTAGAACACCGATAGCCCTAAAGCCGGTACGGCTGATAACCTACGTGTAATTAAAGACCAAGATGTAAATGATACCACAGAGCGAGCTCACAAGTGTCTCGAAGCGCTGGGAGAACCTAGTCTTACCCTCGAATGCACGACAGCTCACAGTTCACTTTTTCTCAGCCAAAAAGCAGCCTGGACGGTACCAGCTCATGCGTGTCATCTGTGCGCAGGGGCTGTTGATCGCACGCACTAAGTGTTAGAGCCTCCGTGGCCGGCCTCGCTCGTCACACACCTCCCCCTTTATTATTAATATTATATATCCCAAACGGGGTATAGTGGAAAACCAAGGGAAACGGGGACCCGCAGGGACCCGCGCGCATGTCTTGTGTGGGAAAAAATTCTAAATAGACGAGTAACCATGAGGAATCGTCTTGGGTCAGCCGCTGGCTTCAGGACGCCGCCACCAGCAGAATTTTAGTTCGTGGCCTGCCCCAAGTTCCGGAAGGCCGTCGCTTTAGCTGTGTTAACAACCACCAGTACTAATGAGAAGCCGAAGTGATGAGGCTGTGTTATCCCGTATAAGGGGTCCACGTCACCAATTTACTTAAACTGGTGCCGTACTCTGTTTCACAGTATTGGGGAAGTGTATTTGGAAGACAAATACTCCCGTGAAGCAGGCTTCAATAGCTTCCCCAATACTGGGACGGTATTTGAAGCCAGTTTGAAGCCGGCTTCAATAGGGCTTCAAATACGATTCCCCAATACTGGGACGGTATTTGCTTGTGTTTTACGTAACCTGCACCCAGGAAGGAAGGAAGGAGTTTGTAGTTTTGAGGAGTAGGTTTTGTGAAACATTTTCCTATTCTCTCTTTTGATTTTCCAGTCATGCAAGTTTGCCGCCATTGCATGTGTGCTGAGTATATGTCGTATCGCAGGCGCTTTGTTTCAAGGGTGAAAACATTCATGGTAGCGGAGCACTGGCCGACCAGTGCTTCTCACGTCGGGTTTCTTGTTGGTTCTCTGTTCGGGGGCCAGCGTGCGGAAACCTGTCCTTGACTTTGGTGTTTTCTTTTCTTCGGCGAAGTGTAGCTGGGTAGCTCGTAGCAGCCACGGCCGTTCCCCTTGTGCTCGCGTGGGACAAGGACCCTTTGCTCAGTCAGGCGAAAGCCCGCTTCTTGCATCTGCTTCGGTTGCAGCTTGCAGCTAAAGTACGAACTCCGAGTCTGAGCGTCTTCTCTTTCCGCAAGAGGCAAGCAGCTTATCTTGCAAGGCACAAAGCAACTGCTGAGGCCTTGACTTCCTTGTCTCAGGTCACCAGATTGGCTAATCGTGTGTTGAGTGATCAGCAGTGCATCCGCTTCAACAACTGGGCAGCAGGGAGGACTTTTGCCCTTGGGTTTGTTGTAGGTAGGAACGTCTTCAAGCACCGGCTTAGGAGAGCTACGCATTGCATTGACCTTGATTGATCAGCCTTTGTGATCCTGTCTTGATTTTATTTACGAGCCCAATACCACACTGTTGCAGAAATGTCTGCACATGGAAGTCCGGTGTCACAGCCACCGAATGTGCCGTTGGATGATGATGATGATGACGACCTTGGAGATCCGCCGCAGGTTGCTTCGTCGTCGCAAGTGCCGGGGTTCCCTGCAGGTCCCTTCCCACAGGCTCCAGGGCCACAGCTTGCTGACATGCAGGCTATGCAGACGATGGTGATGTCGCTTGCTCAGACTGCGCAGCAGACTCTGATGATGGTGTCTCAGCAGAGTGCAGCGGCCAACAAGCCACCTCTTGACAATAGTGGGGGTTTTACTTTAGCCAACAAGGTTCTCAAGTATCCCGAGCCGTTTGGCACTGAGAATGCCGATCAGGATGCGCTGGGCTGGCTAGCCTGGTCCACCAGTTTCCGTAACTGGGTTACCTTTGCAGAGCCTGCTTATGAGAGCGATCTAGCAGAAGTAGAGCAACGCTTGACTGAAGTGCCTCACATTGCCAATATGCCATCCATTTGTCTTGAAAGGGCTAGGAAGCTGTATGTGATTCTAGGCTCTGTCTTGAAAGGGAGGCCTCTTGCAATACACCGCGGCATTGAAGATCGCAACGGGTTTGAATGCTGGCGGCAGTTAACCTGCCAATTTAGCCCGAGGACGCGCTCCAGGTCGCTTGCGCTGCTGAGTGCAGTGATGGGGCTTCCAGCATTCACGCGTGACCGAACGCTGCGTGAGCAACTCAGCAGCTTCGAGCGGCTGATCGCCGAGTATGAGAAGGCCTCTGGCAATGCACTTCCTGGTGATGTCAAGCTGTCAGTTGTACTTAGAGCCATCCCCAAAGCCCTGCAATCCCACGTGCACTTGAGAATGGACGCTTCTACGACTTATGAGGACGTAAAGAACCTTGTGCTGTCGTATGAAGTAAGTACTACTAATTGGAGTGCCGCGCGAGTGCAGCAGGAGCTTGGTCTTGTCAGTCCCAGCAAAGGCAGTGCTTCCATGGAAGTGGACCAAGAAGGTTCCGTGGCCCAAATCAAGGGTCAGGATAAGGGCAAAGGCAAGAAAGGGAAGGATAAAGGGAAAGGCAAAGGTGATAAGGGAAAATCTAAGGATGCCCCCAGCCCTAAGGGTAAGCCGAAAGCCAAACCTAAGGCCTCCCCCGATGCCGAATGCCACGACTGCCACAAGAAAGGGCACTACAAGAGAGATTGCAGAAAGTACAAAGCTGACCTTGCTGCGGGCAAGGTGCGTGCCATCACTGAGGATGATGCTGCTGCAGGTGGAGATCAAGGATCACCGTCGCCCAAGGCAGCCGCCAAAGCAGCTGTGAAGCGCATCATGTTTGACATTCGTGCTATGCCTGGTGATCCCGCTTCCTCCTCAAGTGTTAGAGCGATTCGTTGTGCAGTTTCGCATGAGCCGTGCCAGTCAGATCCTTGTGCAGTTTCGGATGAGCCGTGCCGGTCAGACCTGTCCATAGGCCGCGTTGAGTCCACTTTGGTCCGATGTGTGCCCAGTGGCTGTCCTGCAGAGTTTGACATATCTAGCAGTGACCATGATGGCGATTGGGATCTCAGCCCTGTTTCGTCACCCATGCGTGTAGCTGCAGTCAGCCGTCACAGCTATGAGCAACAGTTGGAGATCTGTGTCGACACAGCCGCCGATGAGTCATGTCTGCCTCTTGACTTCGTGTGTGTTGGGTCTCATGCGTCAGGTGAGCCACCGCTTGTTGACTGCCAGGGCAACACGATTCACACCAAGGGCAGCCGATTGGCCACTTTGGAAGCTTCTGGAGTCGAGCTGAAGGAGCGCTGGGTTGTGTCGCCAGTTTCTCAGCCGATTCTGGCCACGGGCAAGCTGCTCAAGCAGGGCTGGAGGTTTCTTGACTTTGATGATCTTGGAATGTGCCTGACCAGCCCGTGTCATGGAGCGCGGATCCCTGTGGGTTTCAGCAACAACACTCTTGTGTGCAAGGGCGTCATACGCTCTATCCAGGAGCCTCAGCCCTCTGCAGTTCGGGTTATTAAGGTGCGCTTGACTGGCTTGCTTGACCGCCTTATCCGCAGCACAGACTTCTTTCAGGAGATTGCCCCTGGTGTACATGCCACGAGCCTCACTTCGAAGCACCTTGTCGATTTGAGCTTGTATCTGCCTTACGAGGGTCTCGCCTACCGCACCACCTTGATCAAGATAGATGGGGATTGGGTTCTTTCCGAGCTTTCATCTTCAATCGCCGACCTTGGCGAAGACTTGACCACTCAGGTTGCCGATCAGGAGGTAGAGATGATCGTGTTCGGTCATCGTGAGCCGCTGGCACCCAGCGACCTCGGTTTCGCAACTGATGTGCCAATTCTTGATGCGCCGGCCCCTGCACCTCCAGTGTCTTCAGCAGATCCCGTGTTTGAGGATTTCTTCGGTGAAGCAATGCAGGAGGCCGATGTTGAGTTAGGCGGCGGGGCTGAAGTTGAGTCAGCCGGCGGGGCTGCAGCTGAAGCAGCCGGCGGGGGCGAGGCACGCGATGGTGCCCTTGATGATGCAGTGATGCAAGGGGCACTCGCTGACGAACGCGAAGCCCAGCCAGACAAGATTGTTGTCGATGATGTCGAACTGAGTCTTGACAGCACCCTGTCAGTGCTTCGCCGTGCATGCCAGAGCCTTGGTGTCGGGAAATCAGGCTCGAAAGCCGTGGTGTTCCGTAGGCTGTGCAACCAGCTTGACAGGCTTAAGCTGATTGAGGCTAGTCGCGCCGCTGAGGTTCCGAATGCACCTGTGCCCAATGTGCCGGCAGCTCCGAAGGAGCCCACACCAGAGCAGCGACGAGCCCACGAGGCTGTACACGCCCCATATGAAGCATGGTGCCAGCACTGCGTGGCCTTTAAAGCAAGGGATGACATGCACAAAGCTGCCAATACTGATCGCAAATTTCCTGTGATATCCTTCGACTACGGCTTCACTGGCCGATCGGAGGAGGATGGCCCTCACAACAAGCTTGCCTTTCTGTGTCTTCACGATTCTGAGAGTGGCTGGCGAGAGGCCATCCCGGTGCCAGGCAAGGCAGGCGTGCATGATGGGATCAATGTCACCAGCTACCTTGCTGCTGAGATTTGCAGGTTGCTTAGCATGCTAGGCTACTCCAAAGTTGTGCTTCAATGCGACCCCGAGCCCACATGCTTGAAGTTACGCAATGAGGTGAGGCGCATGCGGCTACAGCTGGGTTTGCAAACTGATGTGCAGCAGTCAGCTGAGGAAAGCCACCAATCCAATGGAGGTGCCGAGGTTGCCGTGCAAACGCTGCGGCAGCAGTGCAACACTCTGCTCTCGATGTACGAAGCAGAGACCAAGCTTAAGGTCGCAACGGCCCACGCTCTCCATTCATGGTGCCTCCGGCATTCTTCTTGGATCCTGAACAGATTTGTGCTGCGACCCGGAGGGCTCACTCCTTTCGAGATCATACATGGCCGTCCTTACAAAGGGAAAGTGCTACCGTTTGGCGAAACTGTGATGGGATTGGTTTCTCCCGGGCCCAAGGGCAAACCGCGGTTCATCCAGGCCATCATGATCGGAAAGTGCACTCCGAATGATGAGTTCATCTTGTGTTCTGGAGCCGGCAAGCTCATGTTGGCCCGCACCGTGCGCCGACTTGCCACTGGCTTCACTCCAGCCTTGCACGACTGTGTCCGTGATCCTCCTTGGCGCCACCCCGGGTTTGTAGCGGGTTCCTTAGGTAGGTCCCGAGCCCAACGCAAGCCGAAGGTCCTTCCGGCTGGCGGTGACGCAAGGTTGGTAGTTGAGGATCAGCTTGGTGGGGTTTCCGACTTGCTAGGTGAGCTCGCGGCCTTGCCTGAAGGTCCTGGAGAGATCCCTGAGGATGCGCGCGATTACAGCCCTTCTCAGGAAGCCGCTTCTGATCCTGAGAGCTCTTCGCAGATGAGTGAGGATGACCCCGATGGTCATCGTTCCGGTGAGGCTGCTGCTCCCGCTTCTGGCGGCACTGACGCCGCAGAGCTTCCGTTGCAGTCTGGTGCCCCCGTTGCACCGCAGGCTGTTGCTACAGGTGATCCTTTGGTGCAAAGCAGTGCCGGTTCTGCTGAGCCTATGCCAGTTGACCCTGCCACTTCAGTTGCAAGGGAACGTCCCAGGCCAGCAGGTGAGGAGGGTGCTCCAGGTCCGTGCAAGGATTGCAGCCGCAACTGTGTGCGGTGTGGAGTACCACCATGCCGACGAGGATTCCGATCTTGCATTCTCCCCAGCGGACATTGAAAGCATCAATGATCTTGACGGCCTGTGTTCAGATGATGAAGAGGAGGAGTGTGAGCAAGGCCTTGCCCCTCCTGATGAGCTTTATCGGCCTTTCTCACCACATGAGCCTGCCCTGAGCCCCGAGGAGCTTGCTGACCTTGATGCGCTGTGCGACCACCACGAGATAGCTAGGCTCAAGGCAATGGGTGTGATCTACCAGCCTGAGTCAGGCAATGAGGACTGCAAGTCATTGACGGTGAAGTTCGTCCGCAGCTGGCGACCGAAAACGCATCCAGTCACTGATGCCCCTGTGTGGCTCAGGAGATCTAGGCTAGTGGCCCGGGAATTCAGGTTCAGAGATCCCCTCAGGGAAGGTTTGTACAGCCCTGCATCCCAAACTGTGCTGCTCAAGCTTCTGCCAGGCTTGTACATGTCTCGCAAAGGGTATGCCCTGTTGTCCTGTGATATATCAGACGCCTACTTGACTTGCGAGCAGCCGTGCCCGACCGTGGTGACGCTCCACGGCACTACGTACCGTTTGGCATTTATGCTACCGGGGCAGCGGGATGGCTCAGCGGTCTGGTTTTCCACCTCACCAAGTATCTGGTTTCGGAGGGCGGAGTTTCGTTGTGGCCCGGATGCGAGGCGCTGTTTGCTATGCGCAACCACTCCGGCGGAGGACTCCTTCACGTAGACGACTTGTTGGGGTCAGGCGAGCATGCTGAGCTGCAGAGACTTGCGCAGATCATAGAGTCAAAGTACAAGTGCACTCTTGAGTGGCTTGTTTGCGAAGGCGACAGCTTGCACTTCTTGAAGCGCAAACATACTTTGGCCCGTCAGGATCTGCTTTGCATTCAGAAAGCTGACAAACATATCATGAAACTTGTTGAGCTTTTGCAGCTTGAGCGCCATTCCCCGAAGCCCACTCCGTTGCCATTGCAGACACTTGATTTGGCCAAGTCAGAGCCTCTCCCAGAGGATCAGGTGTCAGTTTACAGGTCGTGCATCGGGATTCTGATGTACATCTCTGCGGACACTGCCGATATGCAACATTCCATTCGCATGCTCTCCCAGCACCTTGCCTGCCCAACCGAGGCTTGTATGAAGGCCCTCAAACACCTGGTTCGATATGCTAAATCAACCAGCGGGTTCTGCCTTGGGCTGGAGCGCACGCATGCAGGACATGGCACCAGAGTCCAGTGTGATACCGGCGCCGACGTGCTGGAGCTGTACACAGACTCCGACTGGGCTTCCGACCACACCACACGCCGGAGCGTGAGCGCTGGGGCCTTGTACTTGAATGGGAATGCGATTTACACGGCGAGCCGCACGCAACGAGTCGTAGCTATGTCAAGCTGCGAGTCGGAGCTCAATGCCCTTGTGTCTTTTGCAGTCGACTTGATGTATGTGAAGGAGGCCCTGCGGTTCATTGTTGGAGTCATTCCCGAAAGCCATGCCTTTAGCGACTCTTCCTCAGCTCGTGCTGTTGTGAACAAGCAAGGGCTCTCCAAGCTCAAACACGTCGAGATCAGATTGCTGTGGGTTCAACAGGCCCTGAAGGATGGAGCATTCAAGCTCCACCCGGTCGGGACCCTTGACAACTCTTCGGACTTGATGACCAAGGTGCTTAAGCGTGAGCGAATGCTGTACTTGATGTACCTCTTGAATATCAGGGATGGTGATGCTCAGTTCAATCGCGTCGGAGAGGCCCAGGCCGCTGCTCGTTACAACAACCTGTCCTTGAAGCTTGCGGTTAAGGCAGTAAAGGCATTCAGGGGACCCCCGCAACGGGTGCATGCGCTCCTGCAAGCGCTGACCTTCATGTCCTTGATCGATGCCAATCAGGCACGCATGCTTGACTCCGAGAGCCGTCCGCATGTGCTTGAAAGCGCCTTGAGCGGTTGCGGATTCATCCTTGTGTGCATCGGATGCCTCGCGGTGCTATGCATGAGCCTGCAGGGTTGCCAAGCTGAGATTGCAGATGAGCTCCCCGACCCATGGGTTGTATGGTTCACCCTAATCGTAGGATTCCTCATAGGTCTAGGGTTTTGGTTTGTGTTGCCAAGTGCCGAGCTGCAGCAACAGATGCCTTGTGAACCCGACGACGCCACCACACCTGCTTGCGACGACGACGTGCGACCTTGAGCGATGACATTCCTTCAGATGGTGAGCTTGCGCAAACACCCGATGTGACCAGAGCATCCTCTGATGAGCCGCTGTCAGAGCCAACGCAGAGCAATGATGGGGCAGGCGATGGCAACAGCCACCCTGCTTCACCCACTGCCCATGATCCGATCGACGAGCTTGAGAACCATGCCTTGGCAGCAGTGCCGATTGCAGTTGTTGATCCTCCTGGATTCCCTGCTGCTGTCGATCAGCTGCTTGTGTATCATGCGCCGATCTCCGGGCGCAGATGGCATGTGTTCCGAGGGTGTTGGGGTTTAAGTAGAGCTGCTGTCATTGCTGAAGAAGAGCTTGGTGTGCTTTTGCGACGTGATCCCAGGATCACGATGTGCTTGATCTGCATGAACCGAGTTCGCAATGACTTGCGATTCCCAATGCTTCGGATTACCGATGAAGCTGACGATCCACGCCGAGAACACCCCGAACCCGAGCCTTTCCAGTAGTTTGTGGTTTAGTCCCTTCTTGTAAAACAAGCTTGAGACTATCCTTGAGTTGCGACTTCAATGCACTTGTGAGGTTATCCAATGCTTTGGACGTCCATGTTACCAGCCATTTGGGAAGTCAGACCCACTTGGGCTGAAGAAGCCGATCTTGCTTTGCGCTATAGGCGACTGCGTGTTTCGACTTGGTGACTCGTGGATGTCACCGTTTTGCGAACTTGCTGCCATAATCCTTGATGTCTTGAGCTAGCCAGCAGCGCTAGGTTTTGGCATTACTCTTGAGAATGGCTGTTGGGTCTTTCTTGAAAGGGGCACCGGCCCTCTTAAGCAGCCGAGCGCTGCTCCTGCAGCACAGGTGAGGTCCGAGGTCCGTAGCAGGCAGTGAAGTTTCACACCCGAGGCCCAGGACTGCGGTACGTCCGCGCTCGGCAGAGACGAACAGCAAAGTGCGGTGCGACTTTCTCGGCATGTGCATGGCGGCTTGTATAGGTTCCTTCTTTCTTGAAACTCGTTTGTCGAACATTTCGAGTTTTCCACTGTTCGGCTTGTAAGCTCAGTGCTTTGTCGCAGTGACGAACACAAACAAATGCAGCACGAGGTCTTGAGGACTCATGTGCATTTGGGCGGGGTGCTTGTGTTTTACGTAACCTGCACCCAGGAAGGAAGGAAGGAGTTTGTAGTTTTGAGGAGTAGGTTTTGTGAAACATTTTTCCTATTCTCTCTTTTGATTTTCCAGTCATGCAAGTTTGCCGCCATTGCATGTGTGCTGAGTATATGTCGTATCGCAGGCGCTTTGTTTCAAGGGTGAAAACATTCAGTATTTGAAGCCAAGGGGACTCGGGGTATTTAAAATTCGAAGTGATGAGGCTGTGTTATCCCGTATAAGGGGTCCACGTCACCAATTTACTTAAACTGGTGCCGTACTCTGTTTCACAGTATTGGGGAAGTGTATTTGGAAGACAAATACTCCCGTGAAGCAGGCTTCAATAGCTTCCCCAATACTGGGACGGTATTTGAAGCCAGTTTGAAGCCGGCTTCAATAGGGCTTCAAATACGATTCCCCAATACTGGGACGGTATTTGAAGCCAAGGGGACTCGGGGTATTTAAAATTCTAAATAGACGAGTAACCATGAGGAATCGTCTTGGGTCAGCCGCTGGCTTCAGGACGCCGCCACCAGCAGAATTTTAGTTCGTGGCCTGCCCCAAGTTCCGGAAGGCCGTCGCTTTAGCTGTGTTAACAACCACCAGTACTAATGAGAAGCCGAAGTGATGAGGCTGTGTTATCCCGTATAAGGGGTCCACGTCACCAATTTACTTAAACTGGTGCCGTACTCTGTTTCACAGTATTGGGGAAGTGTATTTGGAAGACAAATACTCCCGTGAAGCAGGCTTCAATAGCTTCCCCAATACTGGGACGGTATTTGAAGCCAGTTTGAAGCCGGCTTCAATAGGCTTCAAATACGATTCCCCAATACTGGGACGGTATTTGAAGCCAGGGGACTCGGGGTATTTAAAATTCTAAATAGACGAGTAACCATGAGGAATCGTCTTGGGTCAGCCGCTGGCTTCAGGACGCCGCCACCAGCAGAATTTTAGTTCGTGGCCTGCCCCAAGTTCCGGAAGGCCGTCGCTTTAGCTGTGTTAACAACCACCAGTACTAATGAGAAGCCGAAGTGATGAGGCTGTGTTATCCCGTATAAGGGGTCCACGTCACCAATTTACTTAAACTGGTGCCGTACTCTGTTTCACAGTATTGGGGAAGTGTATTTGGAAGACAAATACTCCCGTGAAGCAGGCTTCAATAGCTTCCCCAATACTGGGACGGTATTTGAAGCCAGTTTGAAGCCGGCTTCAATAGGGCTTCAAATACGATTCCCCAATACTGGGACGGTATTTGAAGCCAAGGGGACTCGGGGTATTTAAAATTCTAAATAGACGAGTAACCATGAGGAATCGTCTTGGGTCAGCCGCTGGCTTCAGGACGCCGCCACCAGCAGAATTTTAGTTCGTGGCCTGCCCCAAGTTCCGGAAGGCCGTCGCTTTAGCTGTGTTAACAACCACCAGTACTAATGAGAAGCCGAAGTGATGAGGCTGTGTTATCCCGTATAAGGGGTCCACGTCACCAATTTACTTAAACTGGTGCCGTACTCTGTTTCACAGTATTGGGGAAGTGTATTTGGAAGACAAATACTCCCGTGAAGCAGGCTTCAATAGCTTCCCCAATACTGGGACGGTATTTGAAGCCAGTTTGAAGCCGGCTTCAATAGGGCTTCAAATACGATTCCCCAATATGGGACGGTATTTGAAGCCAAGGGGACTCGGGGTATTTAAAATTCTAAATAGACGAGTAACCATGAGGAATCGTCTTGGGTCAGCCGCTGGCTTCAGGACGCCGCCACCAGCAGAATTTTAGTTCGTGGCCTGCCCCAAGTCCGGAAGGCCGTCGCTTTAGCTGTGTTAACAACCACCAGTACTAATGAGAAGCCGAAGTGATGAGGCTGTGTTATCCCGTATAAGGGGTCCACGTCACCAATTTACTTAAACTGGTGCCGTACTCTGTTTCACAGTATTGGGGAAGTGTATTTGGAAGACAAATACTCCCGTGAAGCAGGCTTCAATAGCTTCCCCAATACTGGGACGGTATTTGAAGCCAGTTTGAAGCCGGCTTCAATAGGGCTTCAAATACGATTCCCCAATACTGGGACGGTATTTGAAGCCGAGGGGACTCGGGGTATTTAAAATTCTAAATAGACGAGTAACCATGAGGAATCGTCTTGGGTCAGCCGCTGGCTTCAGGACGCCGCCACCAGCAGAATTTTAGTTCGTGGCCTGCCCCAAGTCCCGGAAGGCCGTCGCTTTAGCTGTGTTAACGACCACCAGTACTAATGAGAAGCCGAAGTGATGAGGCTGTGTTATCCCGTATAAGGGGTCCACGTCACCAATTTACTTAAACTGGTGCCGTACTCTGTTTCACAGTATTGGGGAAGTGTATTTGGAAGACAAATACTCCCGTGAAGCAGGCTTCCATAGCTTCCCCAATACTGGGACGGTATTTGAAGCCAGTTTGAAGCCGGCTTCAATAGGGCTTCAAATACGATTCCCCAATACTGGGACGGTATTTGAATCCAAGGGGACTCGGGGTATTTAAAATTCTAAATAGACGAGTAACCATGAGGAATCGTCTTGGGTCAGCCGCTGGCTTCAGGACGCCGCCACCAGCAGAATTTTAGTTCGTGTCCTGCCCCAAGTTCCGGAAGGCCGTCGCTTTAGCTGTGTTAACAACCACCAGTACTAATGAGAAGCCGAAGTGATGAGGCTGTGTTATCCCGTATAGGGGTTCCACGTCACAATTTTATTAAACTGGTGCCGTATCTGTGTTCCCGTATTGGGGACGTGTATTTGGAAAGAATGATAAATACTCCTCGTGAAGCATGGTTACAATATAGCTTCCCCAATACTGGGCCACGGTATTGAAGAGCCATTTGAAGCCGGCTTCAATATGGGCTTCAATGACGCTTCCCCAATACTGGGAACGGATTTGATCCAAGGGACTCGGGGTATTTAAAATTCTAAATAGACTGTACCATGAGGAATCGCTTGGTCACCGCTGGCTTCAAGGCGCCGCCCACCAGCAGAATTTTATTTCGTGGCCTGCCCCAAGTTCCTGAAGGCAGTCCCTTAGCTGTTGTTAAACAACCACCAGCTACTAATGAGAAGCCCGCAGTGATGAGCTGTGTTATCCTCATAAGGTTCCCACGTCACCAATTTACTTAAACTGGTGCCGTACTCTATTTCACAGTATTGGGGAAGTGTATTGGGAAGACAAATACTCCCCTGAAGCAAGCTTCAATAGCTTCCCCAATACTGGGACGGTATTTGATGCCAGTTTGAAGCCGGCTTCAATAGGGCTTCAAATACGATTCCCCAATACTGGGACGGTATTTGATGCCGAGGGGACTCGGGGTATTTAAAATTCTAAATAGACGAGTAACCATGAGGAATCGTCTTGGGTCAGCCGCTGGCTTCAGGACGCCGCCACCAGCAGACTTTTAGTTCGTGGCCTGCCCCAAGTTCCGGAAGGCCGTCGCTTTAGCTGTGTTAACAACCACCAGTACTAATGAGAACCGAAGTGATTTTTGCGGCGTGTTATCCGTATAAGGGGTCCACGTTCACAATTTAACTTAAACGTGGTGCGTACTCTGTTTTCACCGTATGGGGAAGTGTAGTTGATGACAAATACTCGTGGAAGCAGGCTTTTCAATAGCTTTCCCCAATTTACTGGGACGGTATTGAAGCCAGTTTGAAAAGCGGCGTTCAAATAGGGCTTCAAATACGATTCCCCAATACTGGGACGGTATTTGAAGCCAAGGGGACTCGGGGTAGT